CTCTTTCGTATCCCTCTATTTAACACTAGATTTTTATAAAGAGAGATACTCCAAATTGTTTCATTTGATTCATGAGATGAGTTCATGGCCTCCTTTTGATGCTAAAGGGGATGTTGCCACTTATATTTAAGCATCGAGCTAGTTGACCGAGGATAACTAGAATCAATAACACTATGGACGACACCTTCAAGTCAGAGTTACACAATATATCAAAGTAGTGGTCATAACAGTGCTACATGTCCAAATAATCCAAGCGATGGAAAGCTCTTTTTTCTAATCAGTTATTATCCTAGGATAAAATTGGGCTCTATCATCTTTCTTCAATCTCCTTATGCAAGCATGGCAAAGGCAACATATTGAATCGGACAACAACATGCTAGAAAGAGAGTTGCGCATGTGCAGTCATACGATGTGGGCTTTCGCCTCCCTATTCAGTTTTTCGTCCTTTGAGTGTGGTGCATAGGGCTTCAAATATTAATGATGTATGTCTTCTTAATTTCTTTAATTTAATGAAATTTTCTTAATTTTTATCTATAAAGCTAAATATTTTTTTGTCCTTTTGTAGGTTATACTCTTAGTGACCAACCCACCTATAGATGGTCTGTGAGTAGCATGTTCACTATCCTTGCTTCATATATTCCCTACAACTTGTGGGAATCAACTCTACTAGGCCCTTTAAGTTTATTAAATTAATTTATTAGCCTATCACCACATTGGTCAAGAGGTGGTGCCCTTTAACAAACACATTTCACTTGTTTGTCGGCAAGATGACTACCACATTATAGAATATGCATCTTATCTTGGGCATTATGATTGATGGTGAAGCCCTGATTGGACCTACAGTGATTGGAGTCGGCTTATGATTGTTAACATGGTTAGAATGTTGTAATGAACTACTAGGTAGCCACCTCGACTCAAATGTCATATATCACCATCCTAATGAGTAGAGAGTTTAGGCAAAGCTTTAGAATGGACAATTCTCTCGCTCATTCAATTTTCCCCCTTTGATGTCTGAGACATATATAGAGAGTCGTATGATGATTTGTCGCAACTTATATTTTTAAGGTCTATTAGGGCTTATATTTTGTATATGCTAGGTTATATTTTTGCTTCCAAAATACATCTACTGAGCATTTTCATATACAATATTTACCATTATTTAAGCACTTATAGGTATTCACTCAGTACTCTCAATGAGGCTTCTTGCAAGTACATATATACAAAGAGTTAAATTTAACGATGAAGCCTATAAAGTTCTAAATAGCGGGTTATTTTCTGCTTCTATAGGTTTAGTCATGAGAGCAACTAATTGTTTGTCGACCGACGCTTTGTGTACCTTTCAAATGGGAAATCATTGGAAAACCACTCTGATCTAGGTATTTCATATATTCTTCGAATTAGTTCATATAACAGAAGCACTTTCTTTCCAAATTGCTAATTATAATACAGGTGGTTAGAAGAAATGATCAAAGAGGTTCCAGTGGGAAATACCACAACCTATAGGGATGACCTAGATGGACTTCAGCAAAGTCAGGCAAGTGCTCACTAACTCAAATGTGTAAGTTTGTTCTTGGCTAATTATTTCACGAGATTGCTTTTTCATTACTTCTTTTTTATAGGTATTATGATACCCTACTATGAGACAATAATGGGTTTGATGCCTCGGATATGCCATGAAGAGGATAATATTTGGACGGCCCCTAGGCCCTTTAAGTTTATTAAGTTAATTTATTAGCCTATCACCACATTGGTCAAGAGGTGGTGCCCTTTAACAAACACATTTCACTTGTTTATCGGCAAGATGACTACCACATTATAGAATATGCATCTTATCTTGGACATTATGATTGATGGTGAAGCCCTGGTTGGACCTACAGTGATTGGAGTCAGCTTATGATTGTTAACATGGTTAGAATGTTGTAATGAACTACTAGGTAGCCACCTCGACCCAAATGTCATATATCACCATCCTAATGAGTAGGGAGTTTAGGCAAAGCTTTAGAATGGACAATTCTTTGGCTCATTCAATTTTTCCCATTTGATGCCTGAGACAGATATAGAGAGTTGTATGATGATTTGTCGTAACTGATATTTTTAAGGTCTATTAGGGCTTATATTTTGTATATGCTCGGTTATATTTTTGCTTCCAAAATACATCTACTGAGCATTTTCATATACAATATTTATCATTATTTAAGCACTTATAGGTATTCACTCAGTACTCCCAATGAGGCTTCTTGCAAGTACATATATACAAAGAATTAAATTTAACGATGAAGCCTATAAAGTTCTAAATAGAGGTTTATTTTCTGCTTCTATGGGTTTAGTCATGAGAGCAACTAATTGTTTGTCGACCGACGCTTTGTGTACCTTTCAAATGGGAAATCATTGGAAAACCACTCTGATCTAGGTATTTCATATATTCTTCGAATTAGTTCATATAACCGAAGCACTTTCTTTCGAAATTGCTAATTATAATACAGGTGGTTAGAAGAAATGATCAAAGAGGTTCCAGTGGGAAATACCACGACCTATAGGGATGACCTAGATGGACTTCAACAAAGTCAGGCAAGTGCTCACTAACTCAAATGTGTAAGTTTGTTCTTGGCTAATTATTTCACGAGATTGCTTTATCATTACTTCTTTTTTATAGGTATTATGATACCCTACTATGAGACAATAATGGGTTTGATGCCTCGGATATTCCATGAAGAGGATAATATTTGGACGGCCCTTATATAAGTGAATATATATCTAACTATTTCTTTAAGAGAATGGATGCCATTTGGTTTATCTTGTGCCTAAGGTTAGAAACATGAGATGGTTTAGCTTAATTATTTTGTGTTTAGATGAGATTTGTATTCTGAAGTTTTATTCTTACTTATCAGTTAAGCAATTTTGGGGTTTATTATAACAAAATAGTCTTAAAGTTTTTGCATGTGCAATTGTAAATTTTAGTGTTAACATTTGCTAACTATTATATATTTTAGGATAAATAAGTTATAATTATTTTATATTTATTTGCTCATTTATAACTAATTTTTATAATAATTATTAAAATTTCGTATGATTCGAATCATACGAGAAACTAATATGCATAAAGCAAATACTAAACAAATATAAAGATTTCATACACATTGGAACATGGGTTGAGCTCAACCTTAACACAAATCAAGCGACCCAAACTCAAATACAATCAAATCTAATGTTTGTTAAGATCGTTTACGAGCTATAATTAATAAATGTCAAAGGATGTAAATGAGTTGAACTGAGCTTGAGCCTTGAGCTATTCTCAACATAAACTTGACTAATTAATGAAGTTCTTGATCATATGAATTAGAACGAGCTCACTAAAAAGCTCATTTACTATAAAAGAACATAACAAAACCATCCTAACTTAAACAACTTCTATACTAAAAGGGTTAAAAAATAATAATTTAACGGACCTAATAAAATATTAGCTAAGATATGGGGGTTAAAATTTTCAATTTGCACTTAAAATCTTAAAATTATATATATTTTAAAAAATATATTTTAATATTTTTCAAATGAATCAACTGACAAACTGATAAATCAAATCCAATAAGCCAATTAAACTTAATAAGATTCATTTGGGATAATTTTTAACCACTACTTCTTAGATATTTTTGAACTAAAAACCTTTTGTAGAAACCGGTAAAAAAATTGTCCCAAAAAAAACTTTAGCTCGCAAATCTTTTATCAAACCAAACCCAAACTAACCCACTGAGTCAATTACACCTCTACTAATATCTAGTTTTTTAAAGTTCAATTTCCTCATTAATAATACATAAATATTAAAGTTAAAAAATATGGCTCATGGAAACAATTATCTTTTTAGATTATAAATAAGAGTTTTCTCAATTACAGGGATGGCATCATGACTTTCTCAATTAATCAACAATTCACTTTCTTAAATGAAATAATAATAAGTGCTAAAGAGTGGCTTTGAATAAAAAAAGGTGAAGTTGCAATATCCATCCTTCGACAAATTATTATGCCCGGATAATAATAAAATATTATTTTAAATTAAGTACAAGTAAAACCTAAATAAAGTAAAGGTAAAACTCAATCAAAAAGCGCAATTAAAACGCACATAAAGCTCAGTCAAATGCATACGACATGACAAGTTTTAATTGGATGACTAGACTTATTTTTAAGTCCGGCAACCGGACGTAATAATTTACCCCGTCCTTCAGCATCTCAATTTCAGGTTCTTATTTACCTCTACTCCTACATTAGAGACCTAGGGATGCAAAGGTACCCCAAAACTACTTTGCTTCTTTTTTTTATATAAGACCTATGAACAAATTCAATAATAAATTCAGGCGCACATCTGGATAGACTAAGCAGAATCAAATTCAAAATCTTAAAATTAAAGACAGCATCCAACCACTAGGCCAAATAATCTGTGCAAGCTACTCGCTTTTCAATTCACTGATGAGCTAGATAAGTTGGGTTTAAAACAAACGGTTTTAAACTTCATCAAGAGTTCATTTGAAACAATTACAACTTTTTATAAAGGTGATTATAAAATTATTGTTGAGAAAATAACTTTTTTAAAACTGCCATAGAAAATAACTTCTAAGCAAAAAAATACCTCGAAAATAATAATAATAATGTGTCCAAATAAAAATTATAATTAATGTCTGAAAAATAAATCAGTAAGAACAAACAAAGCCTTAGAGTCAAGCCCAATACTCTAATCTCTAAGGCTTCGTTTAGGATAGCTTTTGACTACTACTTTTTTGTTACTTCCAAAAAAATTTTGTATTAAAAAACTACTTTAAAAATTAATAAGAAAAATTGTTCCAAACGAAACCTAAGTCAATCACTCAAGATAAAGTCGATCGTTTGCTCGAATTTTGATAAGAGATTCGCTTTATTTGATCTCAATTTGAGCCGTACACCGACTCACTAAATTTGGTTCAAGCTAAATTCAGGGAAAAAGTCAACTCAATTCTAATTAATTTTGCATCATCTAAAATAGTGTGTGTGTATATATATATATATAGTCGCATTTATGAGCTAAATTCACAGCCCTAAGGAGAGCAGAGTAGACATATGAGTTTTATTGGAATAGCAAAGTTCATAATCTCATACATGTTGAACCACCCTCCAGCTATATAGAATAGCCTTATATAAGCAGGTTTTGACTATGAAAGATGATGTCTATGGGTTGTATATTTAGTTATGTATGGAGTTTGACATAAAAGACTTTACCTCTTATTTTCTGGTTTTATCAAGCACTTCAATGTATCTTTTGGGGACGCCATAATAGTCAACAAGGTGCTTAGCAAGATCATCGATCACTCCACCCTGGATTACCACTTCATATTGTCCCTTTTTACCTGAAATGAATTTCACACAGAGATTTCAATCTGTTTAAGCTGCAAAATAAGATAGAATTTGAACTATGTAAATCCTGGGTTAAATGTTTCAGTGATGAGAAAGAATTGGCATGTTGATCTAATGTAACACATTAATAACAAACAAGGAAAAGAACGACTAAAAGGTTTTGGCATAACAAGTTATTTTTAATAATCATCTACTAGTGCATTTTCCACTTGCCGACACAAAATTTATGACGCGTCTGTTCAGAGGGGTTTTTACATTGAAAAAACACAAATTATGTCAAGATATTCTTATACAATTTGTATAAAGATGAACTTAAAAATTAAAGGATTTATGATGCAGGACTTAAATGCTTAAATGATGTAAATTAAAGATTTGCACGCTTTAGTTAAGAGAACAGTATTAATTAAGACTTATAGAGATTTAAACGATGAAATAAAATAAGAGAGCGGTGAAACAAGCTTAGGCTAAGTCACACACATAAAAGTTAAAGCCACAAAATAATCAATTACTCTAACGTTACATACATGAAAGATTTTCAACGTAGAATCCATAAGTTAACAATGAGACTATTCACTATGGAAAGATCTCTCACTCAACTCTCTAAATTACTAGGCTTTAGCGGAGGAACATTAACACAATCTTCATGAATCGAATAAAACCACAATTGAGAAGCAACTATAAAGATAAAAGAGTTGGAGGAAGAGTTTACCCAAAAAAACAGGAGATATGAAGCTCCGGTGTTGTCGTTTGGGTGCTTGAGAGGAAGTGGAAAGCAACCACGAGCCTTCTAGATGTGGTTGGACAGCAATCTGGAACTTATGGACAGCACATAAAGGTTCTCCTATTGTTGGGACAGCAAGTGCCCGTGGAGGAAATCTCAAGGCAGCAATTTGCTATATCCAAAAAATCTGGACAGCAAACGATGATTTAGAAATCCCTTGGGATTAATGGCGGGGAGGGGGATTTGAAGAATTATTTCCAAGAGGGGGACGCGGGGTGGTGACGCTGCTTCTATCCTTCCTTGGGTGGAGTATCAAGCTAAGGGCAATGGTGGAGAGAGGATTTGGGGGGGGGGGGGGGGGAGGCCTTTTCCAAAATCTAAAACTAAATTTCAAATTTGAATAAGGAAGGTTTAGCGTTTGGAAATTTGAATTTTCAAATAAGGGGAGAAGAGGGAAAGAGCTCCTTAGATTAGGGAATTAATTAGGGCTCCAAAAGGGGAAGAAATTTATTGTGGGATAAAGAAAAGGAAGGAGGGGGCAGGCGGCATCAAGGAGGGAGTGGGACTTGTGAAGGGGAAATCAAGACTCGCTTGATTTAGAATTTTAAATTAGGAACGATTAATTTAAATCACATCTAATTCAAAATTCAAATAGGACTTATAAACTTTCCTAAAATAGATCCTTTTAGTTAGGAAAGAATTTTCAAATTCAAATTGATTTGAAATATGAAATTAGACTTTCCTAAATTAAAAGTTGCCACTTATGGAAGGTATTCAAGTAGGGATTTTGAATTATGGAGGCTTGGGGAAGGAAGTGTGGCCGGCGGCTAGGTTAGGGTTTGTGGGGTTTTGGTGGTGTGAAGGTGGGGGGAAAAGGTTGGCTTGTGTGGAGAAGGGCGAGATGGTCGGCCTAGGTTTAGGTGTGGTGGAGGTTTTGGCCTATAGTGGGAGAAATGAGTGAAGGGTCGGCGGTTTAAGGAGCTTGGCCAAGGGGAAAGGAGGAAGAGGACGGAGGAAGAAGAAGAAGATAATCATAAGCCCGGAAGCTTCCTGCGACTAGTGGGTGATCCGATTCCCTCACCTAGGGATCTCTCCAAAGCTCTCTCTCTCTCTCTTAACACAAAAGAGACAATAAACATAAGCTGAAATTTTCATAATAATCTTTATTCCCAACATAAGCATAGGAGGAGGATATAAATAGTCTCCCAAATACAAGGATAAAACAAAAGACAAAAGTATCCCTTGGGGTTACAAACATCTCTTCCCTCAAGTGAGGGTAAAATTGGAAAAGTAACTAAATAAATCAAAATACATAAAATAATTCAAAAATAAATTGGCGTGATCGTGGCCGTAGATCGTCGGCCCCGCCTCTGGTAAACTTTCCAAGGCCTGATGTCCTCATCAATTTATTTTGAGATTAATGCAACATAAAATATTCATATATATTACTAAATTCAAAATTTTAAAACTTGTGTCGATACAATTTATAACATAAAAATTTATCTCCCTTCAAGTGTGAGGCACAAGATTTCATGGTTGGGGCCTTCACTATCAATGTGGAGTGAGAGTTTGAGCATGCTATCAGCTAACTTCTAAATATTATGAATAAATTTGTTCAGCACCCTAAAAACAAAAACAAAAACAACAAATCAATTTTCTTATCTTATATCATGTAAGAAATAATCACAGTTGCAAGCACTCAAAACACAGTTGAAGGGACTTTGATGCTCATCCATCGCTTGATGATACTTATTTTCAATACAATACAGATCCTCTCAAATTACTACAATAATGGGAGAGGAAAACTTTAAATATCTCAGCTACCCAATCCACTTTTGATGACGGTTTTTTTTTTTTTTTTTCAAAAACACTTTGAAAATGATACGTAGAATCAATATGTGATTCGAGAGCATCACCTTAGAGGGTTTGATCACATAAAATGGCAGTCTTCTGATGACCCAATTAGAAAAGTAGATATTTTAGATTTTGCGTATGTTAAGAAAGGTAGAAGCAGACCTAAAAAGATTTGGTTATAAAATATTAAAAAATAATCTTTTTTTTTATTAGATTTAAATAAGAATTTGACTTTTAATAGGACACAATGGAGAAAAGGGATTCATGTAGTGGGATAAAGGTTTGATGTTGTTGTTGTACTCTATTTTGAAAATGATATGTAGAATCAATATGTGATTGATATCATCAGATTACTTTTCTTTTGCGATCAGATACTGAAAAAGGAAAGGAACATACCTGGAAGCTCAGATACTGATGTACTGCATGCAAATTTCTTTTGAAGTTCAGAAGCTAATGATTCGGCGTCCATTAAGAAATACTCGACTCCTGAGACTCTTGTCACCTTCTTGTTCCCTTGCCGACGTTCGGTCATAATTTGTATTGGTCTAATAGAACCTTTACGTACAGCAACTTCACTATCCCTTGACACCCTGTGGAAAGCTTGCATCCGATTTAGAAATGTTGCTCCAAGATCCTTCTTCTGAATTTCGGTAGGGTACATTACGCCCTTTTTAATGGTCCCTTTGAAAAGGGCGTCACAAAGTGTAGCATCTAAAACCACCACCGCTTTGTTCATTGGATTGGTCAAATTTTCTTTCTCTATGTATCTGTAGTCCACAAGAACTGAGTTAAGTTCCATAGGATATGATGATATAAGAGACTTTTCTTTTAAATTACATAATAGCAATAATTTGGTGGCCATGTGAACACCAAACTAAACTGCTACAGTCAAAATTCATTTGCAAATAAAAAAAGCAGCAAAAATAGAAATTTCATAGAAGATTGCCAGCAAGAGAGAAGGGAGTCATCGAAGAAAACCTGAAGACAACATCAGTTGCTTCTGGAGCAGTGTAATATTTTCCAGTATCAGAACCAACAGATGTGAATATGAGATTGACATGAGCGTTTGATTTGTAAATCTCAACAACCTCAAGCTGCGATCTAGTCTGGTGAGCATCAGCTGCAGAAGTATCAGGTTTCTGATCTACAAATTCCGTAACACGTTTCTCTGGCTTGAAAGATATATAGTCTGGATGTGCACGGTTCACAGAAAGTAATATAATTTCCTTCTTGTGCTTGTCTTCCTTTGCCGATACCTACCAAATTGATAGTTGTCAGTTAGAATTCAAATAAAAAAAAACGAGTGGGCAACATGTTGAAAAACGTCTTAGATCAAATTCGTAGTTTATAAACTTATAACTTGAACGAAAACTCATATTTTTTGGAAAACTAGAAAACACATAGAATTCTCAACCAAATCATAATTTAAGCATTGTAAAATCAGAAAATCTAAAGGAAATTTGAGATAATAAAAACCGCAATTCTATCAAGACACCCAAATCATAAAAAACAGATTGTTACAGATTTGACCAAAAATTAATTACGCTCGAGAACCAATCACAAAACAGAAGAAAAAATAGCAAGAAAAGAATTTACCAATCAGATACACAAGTCTCACTCTGGTGCAAAGATAACTTGTCCTGAAAGTCAGCAATGAATACTTGCACCGCACTTGAAGTCGTATCCAACAAATGCAAAATTTAGGCTTCGTATGGGACAGCTTTCTTTCCGCTTTATAAAGCAGCTTCCTAGTTCAAAAATTTTAATTTTTATACTAAAAAACTGCTTTAAGAAGCAATAAGAAAGCCGTCCCAAATGAAGCCTTAAGATGAAAGTAGAAATTTCATGTAAACAATAGTTAACTCGCATGCCCCAGTAATTCATATTTATTATCATTCAACTCCCAAAGTCAGCAATCAGTACATTGTTGAAATCTAGCAAAAGCTGCTGTGCCCAAACGCAAATTACAGGTAATCAAGACTGCAAGCTACTGCATATCTCACCAAATACTGTAATCACATATCACCGCTTGATAGGAAAAACGCAATTCAAGCTAGAGGCATTAATTCGCACTTCACGGCTACACAAAAAGCCACATCATCTCAAATCACGGTCCAACTGAAGACCCATCAAACTATAAACTACACTAGCCAAACTTAAAGCCCAAAATTAGCTATAGATGTTGATTAAAAGCACAATTAAAATCCGGACAGAAAATCAGCTGCTGAAGAACACTGAATCAACAGTAGTAGCAAAACAGATAGCCAACAACCAGGCCACTTGAATACCACAACAGCAGTACAAAGGCAGAACCAGGTATACGGCAGTTGAATCAGCTCGAAGCGGCACAAGAGCTGAAGCAGCATGGACGGACATTAAGGCTTCATTTGGGACAGCTTTCTTACTACTTAAAGCTGCTTTTTAGTAAAAAAATTTAAATTTTTGAACTAAAAACAGCTTTAAGAAGCAAGAAGAAAGCCATCCCAAACGAAACCTAACAGAACACAAACAATAAGTTTATTGATCTTCATCATCAGCATGTTTACATAAAAAATAATTACATAGATCTAAAAGAAACTACTAAAATCAAATAAACTAATGTAAAAAATCAAAACTAAAATTGTTGACCTGCATCAAAGCTGAATAACTTGAAAAATCCAGCTCAAACGGATTGAGCATTTGATAGTAATCATGTAAATATAGGCACAATAGTTAAACTTCATGTAAGAAAATCCATGAATCACCACATATAAGTCGATCATATCAATGCACACAATACCTTTAATGTCCATCATTAGTACGTAGAACAATCTTATCATCTAAAATTTCGTCTAGGATAAGATGTATAGAATTGTTTGGTAATTTGTGGATGTGAATTCTTGAGACGGAAAGAGAAAAGATTCCAATATAGTGGTGGTATGTTCATCAACCAAACTTATATTAAATACATTAAAAGCTGGACTAGCGCTAAAAATTTCAACTTATAAGCATTTGACCCAATGCATTGGTGGTATGTCAAGTTGACTTGTTCGTTGGTTCGGGCTTGGTTCAATGGTTTATGAGTCGAGTAAGATGAGCTAATAAGTCAAGTTTTAATTGACCATGACTCGACTCGTCAGCTCGTAGGTTAGCTCATATTAAAAAAATTAATATAAAATAACTAAAATCTATTAAAAATTAAGGGTTGAGAACAAAGTTATTAAAACTATTTTAAAATTTTCTTTCTTAGCTATAAAAAAGTATCTGAATTGAAATCATACAAGTTGAACTTGATTAATTAAGTCAAACTCAAGCCGATGATACCTCTGAATAGACTCAACTAGTTTACACCTCTAGCGCCTACCTTCCTAGTGTTAATTTCTTAAAAGCACCTATAACAAATATTTCAAGATTTAGATATGCCATTTTTTTAATCACTTTAAATTTCATATATCTCTTCATCATATCAATAGTAGGCTTGTAATTGTCACAATTAACAATCAATTTAAATTAATATTTTCATGCACATCAAGCAAATGACGAATATGATATGAGACAAATAAAAAAAATGATAAAATATTGATATGCATCCTAATAGTCTAATAAAGACATTATAATGAATTCTTAGAGAAAGAGATTGTAAAAAAAAAACTTAAAAACGGATAAACCGCACATATATGATATGAATACATGGACAGGCAACTACTTCAAAGTAAAACAATTCAAATGAATTAAAATGAGTTGTGATATTTTATTATTATTATTATTTATTTAACCACACAAATAGAATTGTGAATTTTAAATCTCCTTTAAAGTTATTGTTGCTAAATGCTAATACATTCTTTGAAATATCAATGCAATCTCATTTTCTCCTTAAGATAAATATGTATATTAAGAAACTAAGAACCAAAATAAATTCAATCACAATTTGATTCATAGACTTTACGATAGGTTTAATAGATACTTCGGCAGGAGCAGTATTATTAGCTTGTTAAATTGATTCATCAACTACAATACACATGATGATGAGGACATCAGCCGAAGATTTTGACATGTATATGTTAGACCAGTTCACAGTGAACCGGTCCACCCGGCTCAATTTGTTTATAGTAGGCGGACTCCTTCCGCCTCCTTGGCTTTGTCCGCCCAAACGGGCGGGCCCCACTCCTCCTTGAGTTTTGAAAATCAAACAGAGAGGGTTGTTTAGGCTTGGAAGGGAAAATTGATTAGGAAATATTTTGTATTCAAGAGGATGAGGGGGGTTAGGAAATATTTCATGTTTTGATTGATTGAAAGTTAGGGTTTCTTGGCGTTTGGGCTATAGACTCTCTAGTCTAGAGATTTGGGAGAGACGATCCTCCTCTCGAATTGAGGATCGCTTGTATCTTGCTTTCGTGTTGGTTTTCCTTTGTTTTTCTTATTGCAATCTATCGATTTGGGGCTGATTTCTAGATTTTGCTTAAGTCTCACTGTTTTTCTCCAATTAGTGATAGGTTTATTTGCGACTCAAGTATTTCCTCAGGGTTACTTGCGAACTCAAGTATTTCCTATCAAATTGGTATCAGAGCAAGTCTCGGAACCGGTGGAGGGTTGTTTTCAACTGATTCCAGCAGCAGTTTTTCGCTCCAAATAGGAAAAGGTTGTTGTTTTTTTACTCAAAAATCCTGTTTTTGTGAATCTACAAACTCCAGATTGTGATGGCGGCCAAAAACGTAGATGTCTTGGAGGAAAGACTTGAAGTAGAGATGAATCAAATCAAAATGACGGTGGAGGAAATAATTTCTTCCATGGAGGGACAAGTCGCCAACCTCCGAGATATGATGAAAAAAATGTTGGAAATTCAAAATCAAACGGCGGCTTCAGTGGCAAAAGGGATGGAGGAAAAAGTAAGAATTCTGAAATCCGTGGGGAGGAAGATGAGGTGGAGATCATGGAAGGAGAAGGAAGAAGACCCCATCTGGAGCCTGTCCAGAGAAAAGAAAGAGGAGGATATGGGGAACGCCATGAGGGATACTATGGCCGCTGAGGTGCTGATTTTGAAGAAAGAATGGAGAATTTCGAAGGGAGTTTGGGCTATGGAAGAACAAGGGAAGATCGGGAAACATGGGGTGGACCTAGCACTTGGGAAAGGAAAAATTATGGAAGAATCAAGGGAAATGGTGGCGACCAGAATGTGAGGAAGTTGAAGATGCCCATATTTAAATGAGAAGATGCGTATTGGTGGATTTACAAGGTAGAACGGTACTTCGCCGTCAATGGGTTGACAGAGGAGGAGAAGCTGACAGCAGCAGGATTGTGCTTGGAAGGGAAAACCCTGTCGTGGTTTCAGTGGAGAGACCAAAGGAGGCCAATCAGGAACTGGAGGGAATTCAAAGATTGCATAATAGAGCGTTTCCAAACCGATCAGGGAGGAGACTTCTATGAGCAGTTCTTTGCTCTGACATAGGAGGGATCAATAGCAGATTATCGGGAGCAGTTTGCGCACCCAGCTAGCAGGGTGGAGCGACTCTCAGATACAATATTGGAGGAAAATTTTATGAAAGGGTTGAAGGCGGAGATCCGAGCATCACTGAAGATTTTGATGCCCCGTGACTTGGGGGAGGCCATGAAGTTGGCCCAACTGGTGGAAAATTAAAGAAATTTGGAGAGGGGAGCCAGGAGTAGTAGCACCGGGAACACGTACAGGATGACGACCACTCATCTAGCACCTAAAGGTCCTGCAACAGGAGGGAGTTGAGTGGCCACCAAGGAGAAGACAGTAGGAGGAAGCGGGGGACATTTCAAGCGGATGACAAAGAAAGACATGCATGAGAAGAGGGCTAAGGGGTTGTGCTTCCGATGCGATGAAAAGTACACGCCAGGGCATCAGTGCAATGACCGAACTCTTCAAGTTCTCACGGTCTGCGATGACGAGGAAACTGAGGGAGGTGAGGAGGAGATGGAGGCGGAGGTTTCCCTGAACTCAGTGGTAGGATTAACTATGAATCATACCATGAAGGTAAATGGGGAGATAGAGAACAGGGAGGTGGTGGTGCTGATAGATAGTGGAGCAACTTACAATTTCATTTCCACCCAGGTCGTCGACCAATTGGGAGTGAGGTTGGTGGATGCTGGCTGCTACGGGGTGATGATGAGTACAGGGAAGATGGAGAAAGGTCAGGGGATTTGTAGATGAGTGTGACTGACGATCCAAGGAATTCAGGTGAAGGAAAATTTTCTTCCACTAGAGCTTGGGAGTACAGATGTCATCATGGGGATGAAATGGCTACAAACTTTG